AGCTTGAGCACTGTGCTGGAAGATCCACTGCTCTTTTCAGAGCCAATAGGCAGGAACTTTTATGTCTGCTGAAGCTATTCCCACAGCCAGCCCTTCCCCCAGGTGTTCTGTTCCAGGGAGATAGGAGTTTTATCTGTAAGCCCCTGACTGTTGTCTTTCTTTCAGAGATCCCCTGCCCAGAGAGGAGGAATCTAGAGAGGCAGTCTAGCTACAGCAGCTTTGTTGAGCTGTCATGGACTACACCCAGTTTGAACCTCCTGGAAACTTTGTTTACACTGCGAGGGGAAAACTGCTTACTCAAGCCTCAGTAATGGTGGATGCGCCTCCTTTCACCAAGCTCCAGTGTTCCAGGTTGACTTCAGACTGCTATGCTGGCAGTGAGAGTTTCAAGCCAGTGGATCTTAGCTTGCTATGTTCTATTGGGGTGGTATCTGCTGAGCTAGACCATTTGGCTCCCTGGCTTCAGCCCCCTTTCCAGGGGAGTGAATGGTTCTGTCTTCCTAGCATTCCAGGTGCCACTGGGGTATGAAGTAAAACTCTAGCAGCTAGCTCAATGTCTTCCCAAATGGCCACCCAGTTTTGTGCTTGAAACCCAGGGCCCTGGTGGTTAGGCACCTGAGGGAATCTCCTGGTCTGCGATTGTAAAGACTGTGAGAAAAGCATAGTATCTGGGCTGGAATGCACCATTCCTCATAGCACAGTCCCTCACTGCTTCCCTTGGGTAGGGGAGGGAGTTTCCCAACCACTTGAATTTTCCAGGTGAGGTGATGCCCCACCCTGCTTCAGCTCACTTTCTGTGGGCTGGACCTACTGTCTAACCAATCCCAATGAGATGATCTGTACCTCAGTTGGAAATGCAGAAATCACCCACCTTTTGCATTGATCTCGCTGGGAACTGTAGACTGGAGCTGTTCCTATTCTGCCATCTTGCCAGCCACCTTCTAGGAATTCATTTTCTGATCATAGAACAAAATGATGCAACGGTGTCCAAAACTACAGAAATACACTCTGAATTTTTTTTAGATTGACATTGGACTTGAGAATGGAAACATAAGAATACCTGGGGATTTCATCTCCACTGATTTATCTTCTCTGCTGCCAGAAGTCCCAAGTGGCTTTGTCATAGCCTCTGTTGCCCTGTTACTGAAGGTACTGAGAGATCCATAGGTAGGACATTGAGACATACCAGAACCTGAGAAATTGACTCAGTGGCCATTTGAAGATGTGGCAGGGAACTTCATTCAGGAGAAGGGGGCTTTGTTGGATCCTTCTCAGAAGAATCTCGATAGAGATGTGATGGAGAAAACCTCCAGGAACTTGGCTTCTGTAGGAAACAAACAGGATGATGACAACATTGGAGATCAGTTCAAAAATCCTGGGAGAAATTCAAGAAGTTATATCATAGAGAGACTGTGTTGAAGTAAGGAAGGTAGTCAAGTCATCATGGGAAACCTTCAGCCAGATTCCAAATGTTAATCTGAACAAGAAAAGTTCTACAGGAGTAAAAACCATGTTAATGTAGTGTGTGTGGAAAAGTTTTCATGTCATTAATCCCTTGAGAGGCATATTGTATGCCACACTGGACTCAAACCATGAGTGTGGGGAACGTGGAGATAAGTCACATAAATGTAAACAATGTGGGAAAGCCTTCATTTCTCTCAAGACTATTCAGAGAAACAGAGTAACACACACTTTGATTTTCTCAGTTCATTTTGTAAACAACAGAGAACGTACACAGGAAAGAAAACTTATAAACAATGTGGTAAAGCTTTCATTTTCTTCAGTACTCATTGAATACATAAAATAGCTCACACTAGAGAGAAACCCTATGAATTAAGTAATAAAGGAAAGCATCCCATTGTCCCAGTTTCATTTAATGATGTAAAAGGTTTCATTGTGACTTTAAATTGCCTATGAACATAAGAAATGTGGCAAATCATTCAGTCTTTCCAGTTTCCTTCAAAAACATAAAATAACTCATATCAGAGAGAAACTCTATGAATGTAAGAAATGTGATAAAGGCTTCAGTTGTTCCAGTTCCATGCAAAGACATGAAAAAAAAAAAAAACTATTCTGAAGAAAAACTTTATGAATGTATAAAATGTGGTAAAGCCTTCCTTAGACTACACGAAAGGACTCCCTGTGGGAAAAATTCTATGAATGTTAGAAATTTGGTAAAGTCTTCAGAGGCTCTGGTTCCCTTTATACACATGAAAGAACTCATACTGAAAAGAAGTTCTGTGAATGCAAGGAATGTGGGAAAGCATGCAATTTTCCCAGTTCCCTTTAAAAATGTGGAAGAACTAGTACTGGAGAAAACCTCTATGAATATAAGATATGTGGTAAAGTCTTCAGTTTGTCCAGTAATGTTCAAAACCATGAAAGGACTCATACTGGAGAGAAGCTCTTTTAATGTAAAAAAATGTGGTAAAAGATTCAAATTTCCCAATTGCTTTCAAAGACATGAGGGGGTTCACACTGGAGAAAACCCTTATGACTGTGAGAAAGGTGATAAAGCCTTCAGTTATTCCAGTTCTTTTTGAAACATAGAAAGATTCACAGGGAAGAAAACCCTTATGAATATAAACATATGATTAGGCCTTCATTTCCAGATCTGCTGGAAGAGATGGAAAAACTCTTTCCTTAGAAAAACTTTATGAACATAAACCATCATTGGAAGGCCTTCATTTCTCTCATATCTATTGAAAGACACATAATAATGCACACTGGAGAGGGATTTTATAAATAAGAAGGCACATTGGATTAAAACCCTAGTAGTTTGTAAAACACAGGAAAGTGTTCTATTTTAACAATTACTTCAAAAGTCATGTGAAAATTCCCACTGGAAAGTACTCCTATAAATCTAAGTAATTTGGAAAGCCTGATGCTTGAAAAAAATGCACATAAGTGAAATGTTATATCTGTAGCTCATTGTTTTTTTTTAAATAGAGATGGGTTCTCACCCTGTCACCCAAGGCTGGAGTGCAGTGACATGGTAATTGCTCACTGCAGCCTCAAACTCCTTGGCTCAAGGGATTCTCTCACCTTTACCTCCTGAAGTTCTGGGAGTGGAGTAGTGAACAAAGACACATTAATTTATTAGTTTATGTTCACCATATTGCAAGATATTGCAGTTTACATGTTCCCAGTTACAATTCCCAATCACATTGTCTAGTTTGAAATAAACTAAGCCTCACAAAATGAATGTAAAAGATTACTGCAAAGAATATTGAAGGTATTACTAATAACAAAAGCTCAACTGAACAACAAATTGACAGCATTCTTTGTCTGGCACATTATTAGTATAATTACAAAATAAAACAAATCTAAAAACCATGATGATTCAGTCTTACTTGCTAAAATGTCGGCCTAAAAATTCAAAATTAGCAAGAAGACCAACCAAAATGCCCATCAGTGATAGAATGGTTAAAGAAAATGTGGTACATATACACCATGGAATACTGCACAGCCATAAAAAGGAATGAGATCATGTCCTTTGCAGGGAGATGGATGAAGCTGGAAGCCATCATCCTCAGCAAACTGACACAGGAACAGATAATCAAACACCACATATTCTCACTCACAAGTGGGAGTCGAACGATGACAACATATGAACACAGGGAGGGGAACAACACACACCAAGGCCTGTTTGGTGGGGGGCGGGAGGTGAGGAGAGAGAACTGAAAAGATGGTTCAATAAGTGCAACAAACCACCATGGTACACGTATACCTATGTAACAAACCTGCACGTTCTGCACATGTATCCTGGAACTTAAAGTAAAATTTAAAAAAAATAGCAAGAAGACTTTGATATATACATTTACATTTGTATAGTAAAGTAAACTTTGCCCTAAATATGTTTTGTCTTAAGACATAAGCTAATTATGACACTGCATGTATCACACTGCATGTATATAATTTATAAATACATATAGTTCTACTGAGGGGATGTGTTTAAGAAAGCATGGCAGGGTATATTATCTACAAAGTTTGGAGACTTATCTTTTCATTTCTTTTTTTCTTTTCTTTTCATTCTTTTTTCTTGAGACAGGATCTTGCTTTGTTACCAAGGCTGGAGTACAGTGGCATGAACTCAGCTCACTGCAGCTTTCATTTCCCAGGCTCAGGAGATCCTCCCACCTCAGCTCCTAGGGTAGGTGAGACTACAGGGGTAAACCACCTTGTCTGGCTGAATTCTTTTTCTTTTTGCGGGGCAAGGTCTCGTTACATTTTTCAGGCTAGTCTTGAACTCCTGATCTTAACTGATCCTCCCACTTTGACCTCCCAAAGTTGCGGGATTACAGTCATGAGCCACTGTGCCTGGCCTGCAGACCTGTCTAAATATAACATTTTATTTTGTAGTATTGGCAATACATATCCATTTGTCTTTTTTCTTTATTAGATAGTAATTTTCTTGAGGGGAGAGGAACCGTATCTTATGTTTGTACCTAAAGTATGTAGCTCTTGATTTTGCAGTGGGAGGTGCTCAATTAATATCTGCTAAAGGGAAACAAGTTCACAGCCAGCATTAAAAGCAAGCAAGGAATAAGGCAGCCTGATATCTATTACCAAATGAACAATTTTTGGTTATATGATCTTAAAAACTGCACTTTTATTTCCCTCATGTAGAAAATTGGGTGAATGATTCCTATTCTGACTATCCAAATGGTTTCTTATAAAACTCACATGAAAAAATAAATATAAATTTTAAGGCCATGTATAGTTCTGACATGTTAACATTATTTTTCAAATATCAAAAAAATATTTTTTACTTTGAAAGCTTAGTAACATGAAAAACTAAGAGAGGAAAATGACAGAGGGGAAAAATGTTAGATATGTCCTGACATAAAAATAAATGCCTTTTTACGTATTAGTTTTTGGAATGCTGACACTTTCCTCCAATTGTTCAAATAAATAAAGTGTTTTAATTAGCAAACTGCAAATGTTACAGGATTTTTTGAAAGGAAGCCGGAGGTAGATGTAGATGTTTCCAGATGCCTTTTATAGTCCAAGTGGTGTCAGCATTCTCTTTGTTCTTGTTGCAGTCAATTCTACTTAAAAAGAACTCATGTAGTGATAAGAAATGAAAATGGAAAGTGCAAAAGAAAACCAATGGTGCAGCTACCCTCTTCTGTTTGAGAACTTATTTTCTGAGAATCTGAAGACTTACAGTTGCAGGAGTGTGCAAGTCTAATACTTCATTTCTATTTTGTTATGGAAAGTAAGTGAATATCTTTTTTTTCAGTTTCAGGAAATGTACAATGCAGTTTAATAAAACCAGGGAGATTTAAGAATTAAGAAGATTGATATTAAAATCAAAGGTTTTAAATATATAGGGATCTCAGGAGCAGAAATAAATGGAATGAGGTTTATGTGTAATGAGGCTGACCTACCTAACTAAAGTTAAGATTCATGAGAGACCCAGGTGAGAGACATTTTCTGATAATTCTGACATCACCTCTCACTTCTTTTCTTGAACATTTTTGTACTCTCTCTTCTGCCCCCCACAAAGCAAATGCTGTCCTAACACTTCATGAACAAGCCTATTTTGTTCTTATTTTCCTTCTACTTTGTTCCTTCTACCCCATCACTTTTACTTCTTGCATGTGTGTCCCTGTCCAAGTGTTTATAAATAGCACATATGTGCGTGTGTTTATGGATGGATATAGCTATATAAATGATGGTGAAGTTTAATGTGTAAGCACTGAATTAATGTTTAAAAAATAATGAATGAAAGCAGCATGCAATAATACTTTCTAATTGAATGAATTATACTTACTATTTCTATTTTTAGCTTAATGATTGGACTGACATTGCTGCCTTCACTAGTTTATCAAAATATTGTATGACATAGTGTCAATCTAATATACTACATATTCTCCATAGGGATTGTTCAATTCATTCATTCATTTAGAACATATTTGTTGAGCAATTAATGTATGTCCAGCATTGATTGAAGTACTTGGGATTCAATCAGTGAACAAAATAGAGAAAAATATCTGCTACCTAGAGCTTAGAGTATAGGAGAAGATAAGTAGGCAATGAATGACAAGCAAACAATAAATAAATATTTTATATTAGGAAAAAATATGTGCTTCAGAAAACATAGATATAGTAGGTGCCTGTTATAATGGCTATTATCAAAAAGACAAAAGATAACTATTGTTGGAGAGTATGTGGCGAAAAGGGAACACACACACTGTTGGTGGGAATGGAAATTAGTACAGGCATTAAGGAAAACAGTATAAAGCTTCTGCCAAAAGCTAAATATAAAACTACTATATGATCTAGCAGTCCCACTACTGGGTATATATCCAAGAAAAATGAAATCAGCATATCCAAGAGATAGCTGTACTTCCATGTTCATTGCACCATTATTCACAGTAGCCAAGATACGGAATCAAACTAAGGGTCCATAAATTGATGAATGGATTAACAAAATGTGGTATATATACACAACAGAATACTATTTAGCCTTTGAAAAGAAGGAAATCCAGTCATTTGCAACAACATGGATGATTGCAGAAAATATTATGTTAAGTGAAATAAGCCAGACACAGAAAGACATATACTTCATGATCTCCCTTATATGTGGAATCTAAAAGCACTGAACTCATAGAAGCAGAGAATAGAATGGTGGCTATCAGGAGCTGGGAAGGAGGCTTTAGGGAGATGTTACAAAATCTCAGAGAGGGAAAAAGAGAAAGCTATGTTGTATAACATGATTACTAAATTACAGGCATGCCATGGTGTTACTGTGGGTTCAGTTTCAGACAACCACAATAAAGCAAATATAATAAAATGAATCACAGGAATTTTTTTGATTTCAGCATGTGAGTTATTTTTACACTGTAGTCTACAGTGTGCAATAGCATTATATATTAAGCTGCACATTCCTTAATTAAAAATGCTTTATTGCTAAACAAATACTAGTGATCATCTGAGGCTTCAGCAAAGCAAGCCGAAACCTTTTTGCTGGTGCATGACCTTACATAGATATTGATGGTTGCTTAACTGATCAGGGTGGTGGTTACTGAAGGTTGGAGTGGCTGTGGCAACTTCTTAAAATAGGACAATAATGAAGTTTGTCAGGTCAATTGGCACTTCCTTTGCTACATTTCTCTGTAGCATGCGATGCTGTTTGATAGCATTTTACCCACAGTAGAACTGTTTTGAAAATTGGAGTCAATCCTCTCAAACCCTATCACTGCTTTAGCAAATAAATGTATGTAATATTTCAAATTGTTTGTTGTCATTTCAACAGTGTTCACAGCATCTTCACCAGCAGTAGATTCCATCTCAAGAAACCACTTTCTTTGCTCATTCATAAAAATCAACTCCTCATCTGTTCAAATTTTATCATGAGATTGCAGCAAGGCAGTCACATCTTTAGATTCCACTTCTTATTCTAGTTCTCTTGGTGTTTCCACCACATCCACAGTTACTTTCTCCACTGATGTCTTGAACCCCTCAAAGTCATCCATGACAATTGGAATCAACTTCTTCCAAACTTGTGTTAATGTTGATATTTTGACTTCTTCTCATGAATTGCAAATGTTCTTAATAGCATCTAGAATAGTGACTTCTTTCTAGAGGTTTTCAATTTACCCAGATCTATCTGAGAAAATGCTATCTGTGACAGCTATAGCCTTATGAAATGTATTTATTGAAAGTTAATATTACTCCTTGATCCATGGACTGCAGAATGGATGTTGTGTTAGTAGGCATGAAAACAACATTAATCTTGCACATCGCCAACACAGCTCTTGGGTGACTGGATACATTTTAAATGAGCAGTAATATTTTGAGAGGAATCTTTTTTTTTTTGCTGAGCAGTAGGTCTCAGTAGTGGGCTGAAAATATTCAGTACACCATGCTGTAAACAGATGTGCCATCATCCAGGCTTTGTTATATTTCTAGGACACAGCAAGAGTAGATTTAGGTAATTCTTAAGAGTTTTAGGATTTTCCACATGGGTAAATGAACAGTGGCTTCAACTTGGATTCAGCAGCTGCATTAATCCCTAACAAGAGATTCAGCCTGTTCTTTGAAGCTCTATCTATAAGACTCCTAGATGTAATTTTCTTCCAATAGAAGGCTGTTTGTCTACATAAAATCTGTTGTTTAGTGTAACCAACTTCATCAATTATCTCAGCTTGATTTTTCTGCATAATTTGCTGCAGCTTCTACATCAGCTCTTGGTGCTTCAACATAGACTTATGTTATAGAGATGATTTCTTTCCTTCAACCTCACAAACTAACCTCTGCCAACTTCCAACTTTTCTTTTGCAGTTTTTTCACCTCTCAGAACTTATAGAATTGAAGAGAGGTAAGAACCTTGCTTTGCATTAAGCTTTAGCTTAAAAGAATGTTGTGACTGGTATTGCTATTCTATCCAGACCACTAAAACTTTCTTCCTATCAGCAATAAGGGCTGTATCTCTTTCTTATCACTGGTGTGTTCACTAGAATAGCACTTAAATTTACTTCAAGAACTTTTCTTTGGCACTCACAACCTGGCTGTTGTAAGTCAAGAGGCCTAGCTTTCACCCTATCTTGATGTTCCATAGGCCTTTCTCACTGAGCTTAATCATTTTAAGCTTTTGATTTAAAGTGGGAGACATATGACTCTTCCTTTCACTTGAACAGTTAGAGGCCATTGTGGGGATTATTAATAATCATTAATTTCAATATTGCTGTGTCTCAGGGAATAAAGAGACCCAAGGTGAGGGAGAGAAACAGGAGAACAGTTGGTTGGTGGAGTAGTCAGAACATACACATTTGTCCATTAAGTTTGCCATCTTATATGGCTGTGGCTCATGTCACTCCAAAACAATTACAATAGTAATATCATAGATTGCTGATCACGGATCATCATAACAGATAAAATAATAATGAAAAAGTTTAAAATATGGTAAGAATTACCAAAGTGTGACACAGAGACACAAAGTGAGCACATGTTTTGGGGAAAATGGGGCCAATAGATTTACTTGATGCAGGGTTGCTATAAACCATTAATTTGTAAAAAATGCAATATCTGCAAAGTGCAATAAAGGAAAGTGCAGTAAAACGAGATATGTCTTTACTGTATTCTTAAATATTGCTGAGGGTAGATTTTATGCGTTTTCACCACAAAAATTGCTACGTATGGAAGACAATACATATGTTAATTAGGTTAATCTAGCCATTCCACAATGTAGATATATTTGAAAACAGCATGATATACATGATAAGTATATATATTTTTAATTTTTCAATTAAAATGTTAAATTATAGACTGGATGTGGTGGCTCATCCCTGTAATCACAGCATTTTGGGAGGGTGAGGCAAGAGGATTGCTTGAAGTCAGGAGTTTGAGACCAGCCTGTACCACATAGTGAGACCCTGTCTCCACAAAAATAAAAAATTGGCCCGGTGTGGTGGTGCACACTTGTAGTCCCAGGTATTCAGGAGACTGAGGTGGGAGAATCACTGTGCCCAGCAGTTTGAGTTTGCAGTGAGCGATGATTGTGCCACTGCTCTCTAGCCTGGGTAACAGAGCAAGAACCTGTCTCAACAAACAAAACAACAAAAAAATGACAAAAAAGAAAGAAATGTAGGTATGCTGTTGTGGATGGAGGGGTTGGTGCATGTTCCAAATGTGAATTCGATGGCCATGATGTAGGTTTTATTGAAGAGACATTTGAGAACCAAAAGGAGTAAGTCAGGTCCTGAACCAGAATGATCTTTTAGGGCACCTCAAATCACACTACAAAGTGTACATCTATTCTGCTTATATTTAGAGCTTGTCCCATTTGTAACCCATGTCAGCATTACATTGAGAAGGCACCATTCCCTTCTCTTGCTGAGAGTCTGATTCAGCAACTGCAGACAGAAGCCTTACAGAGACATTAGTTCTCATGTTATTGAGAAATAAATGAGAAGACAGCTTTTGTATTGGCCATACCTTCATAAATTCCAAAAGTTCAGATTTCAAATATGTAACATATGACAATTAAACCATAAAAAGGCACCTTGAGATGTGCTATATAATTCCCCAAGAAATATAACTTTACAAGCAAAAATGGTCTGGAAATGAGGATGAATATCCAGTGCTCAGCCAAAATATTTCTCTGGTGACATAAGATTTGAGGAAGCAAGAACTGTAGCACCACTAAAGTTTTCTGGCTTCTTCCCGGGAGTCTAAACATTTATTTCCTGAGAAATACCACTTGAATCATTTCTTGGCCTCTGGACAGGATATCACAAAGCTAAAACTACATTGTCCTTATTTTCTTTTGTGAACTGGAGCCAGGACTTTTAAATTTTTTTACTTGTATTTTTTGCACTGTGTTAATACAGCTGTATTTTGGCAAATCTGAGCAGTATTGCTTAATATTATTCCGGGAGAGAAAATCTTAGAGAAAGACCAGATTCTCTAGACCCCATCAAAATTCCGAATACCAAGTTTAGAGTGCAAAACATTCGAAGAAAAACTCAAAGTCAGGCAGATCCCACCAAAGCCCTGAAGTATGGCATTTATCTAAAGAAGCAGAAGACCAATCACTGGATATAAGAGACATCCTCTGAGGAGAGTGTTGAAGAAACTGTATTTATGGACCCAGGAGAAGAGATGCATGAGAGATAGTTTAATAATTGTCTTAAAAATGTAGCCATGACTTAGGTACAGAAGTAGTCAATAAATATTCTATTTATTCTTAGATAATTAAATAGACTTAAGAAGGGCCATGGGAAATTTTGGTTAGACTTAAAGAGGAATCCTGACTGAAACACTGAAAATGGTTTCTCTGGAAAGTTGTAGAATCTTTCCTCCAGACAGGTTTTTAAATAGGAGAGAATCTTAACTGTCTGTGATGGTTTGAGTGTAGCAGCAAGAGCTAGGGATCCCAAGGTTTCTTCTGTAGGGCTAGATTTGATACACCAGCTCTTTTGGAATCATGTTGCCCTTATATAGTGCTGGGGTGCACTAGCATCATTTGTATTTCAACAAGTGGTCAAGTGATATATTTGAAAAACAAATGCTCTGTAATAAAATTGTAATGTTTAGTTGTCTCTTCTCATTTCCAAACAGGATTTTAATGACAGTTTGAATAATATGCTTAGTATAATTCTTTGCTGTCTCAGTAATTATTATTTCATCAGTGATGATTAGTATTAATATTACTCATTCTTTTTTGAAAGGAGGGAAAATAGTGTGAGCTATGCCATTCCACACAAGTCCTGTTATGTTAAGCATTTTGGAAAATAAAACAGTGTTTATTTGAATAATTTTCTTTCCTCAGACTTGATCAGGAGATCACCAGATTAAAAGTGTTTTTTCTGTGAGTTTATTTGTTTTTAATCCATATTACTTTATTTACATAGGATTTGTAGAGATAATTCACGAGAAGTGGCTGAATCTCACATACATTTGGAAAGGTAAGTTTTAGTTTTCATAAAATTTATAACAAAATTGTATAAGATAAATATATTTGTAATAAAGCCAAATATATTTTAATGTATTTTTGAAGAGTACAGATCCTTCTCAACTTATAATGTGATCATTCCCAATAAATTTACTGTTAAGTTGAAAATATCATAAGTTCAAAATACATTTAATATGCCTAACCTACCAAACATCATAGCTCAGCCTAGCCTATCTTAAACATGCCTAGAACATTTACATTTCCTACAGATGGGCAAAATCATCACAAAGCCTATTGTATTAGAAAGTGTTGAATAGTCCATGTAATTTATTGAATACTGTACTGAAAATGAAAAACAGAATGATTATATGGGTGCTTGAAGTAGTTTCTACTGAAGGCACATCATACACTTTCATAAAGTTGGAAAATCTTAAGTCAAACCATTGTAAGTCAGAAACCATCTGTAATTAGAACTGGATATGATTTTATGGTTCATCTGTTGAGAAAACTGAAATCCTGAGAAAATAAAGAGTGTATCCAAGGTACCAGTGGTAGTTTTAGGGTACTCTGACTCACAGTCTAGAGCTCTTTACAACACACATCATTACATCTTGCTCTATTTTGATGGTTATTTGTCTGGTGAGGTAGCATGAGTTTGTGTATGTCTATTAGGGTTAAGAATTTGTTGGTCCATAGAAATGTAAGTGAAAGGTGATTCAGAAGAAAAGTCCCTTAAAGAAGAGGGACACGGGAAGAGTACCATGGCAAAAGGAGACTCATAAAGAATATATTTTTCATCACCTTAGAGACAACCTTTTCATGTTGAAACTCTTCTAGAATAAAAGGAGAGGAAGATTAGAAAGTAATATTGGTGAATCGTTCATGAAAATACAAATAGTTGATATCATGGGAATTTGACTCATATTAAATACCATAGAAGATAGTTAATAAATTAAATGTGGCATATATTAACCAAAACAAAATCCCGCCAAACCTTATTAAAAAGAATGTTTACAACTATTAAGTTGTTTTCTAAAATGTCCATAGTAAGCAACATTTATGTAGCTTGGAATTAGCCTTCCTGTGTCACCAAGTGTTTGGGCAACATAGCAAACAAAAATTGTCAAGCAGTGTGGCAGTTTAAAAGCCTCATGGTAATGTGAAAGGCCAATATCACTGATACAGTAAATGAAGGAAAAAGCAGATAACCCAAATCTACACACCATTAGCTATTTTGTCTTGACATCTCAAGTTCTGTCTTTGCAAACAACTGTAGGCCGTTCTCCTTCCCTTCTAACTCCTCCTCTCTTCCTTCTCTCTGTCATATTTTTCTTCCCTCTAACCCATCTTTTCTGGCCCTACCACATACTCACTGTAAGAACTTAAAAATGAATAAAAATATATTTTCCATCCTCAAGAATCTCATAGTCCAATACTGGAGATGGGTAGACAGGTAAGCAATTATGAGGCAGTCTACTGAATAGAGGGAAGCATTTTTCCATACGGGTCAATGGAAACCCAGGCTATTGGTTTCAGAGAGGTGATGATGTCTGAGTTTTGAGTGCTAAATAGGAAGATCTCATTATCTTCTCCTTGGATTATTGAAAGTACTCCCTAATTGGACTTCTTGCCAACATGCTTGCCTTCTACATTTTCAGGGAGCTTCCAGTCCAAAGGCAATGAAGCATAAGAAATTCAGGGAATATTTGGAAAAAGGCAAAATGTTTGGTATGACGTTATGAAGGCATGAGGAATCTAAGTAAAAAAGATGAGCACAGGCTAAATCATAAGATGGCTTGTATACTAGGAACCCTGTCTTGCAGAAATAGAAGAGCAGTTGAATGTGCTGGTAAGTGGAAGATTTACCCAGTCCAGTTTGCATTTTGATCTTGTGACATCTAAGCAAAGATTAGATTGAATTAGAAGAGGGTAAGTATGATGGCAGGAAACATAGTTAAGAGTCATCATAAAAAGATAATGACATCTTCAGCTAGGGCAGTGATGGTAGGAATAGAGGGCAGTAGACAGACTCCAGAGATATATAGGAGTTAATATTAACAGGACTTGGTGTTGCATTGATTGTGGTAGGTGACAGAAGAGAGAGAACAAGGATTGTCTTATCTGGCTTGAACAAGTAGATAGTGGTGCCATTCACTGAAATATGGGACACACAAGGAGGAACACTTCTGAGTGAGGAAGGAAGATGATAAGTTCAAGTTTGGACATGTTGAATTTGACTTGCCTAGGAGATATCAAGGTATAATTTTCTGGTAAGCAATTTGATATAATGGTCTGCAGCTCAGGAAAGCAGCATATGCTCTACCTTCTTTGCCTTTTCCGAATGCTTTTAGAATCCATCCTTGACAAGTTAGCCCTTGATTCCATACTGACCTGTCCCAGTCCTTTAGTTTTCCGTATTTCCTTGTACTTTTCAGAGGCAGACATTATACATCCGTCTATACCTTCTGAAATGCCTAATTCACTTGTAGGCATGAGTGAGGACTTTGTAAAGGCTTCTGAATACTTGCATTTTGCCACCTTACCATTGAGGTCATTCAGGAAAAAGTGACATTTTAATACTTATTAAAGGGTGCAAAGGACATTTAAATCTTTATAAATACCTTAACAAATGTCACAAATCAGATTCATGTGTGTGACCAATTTTACTTAAAAGATTTGTAGGATATTTTCCATTACCCTGTTCCCCTAATTTAGATTTTCAAACTTTTATAAAAAAGTAGAAATGACAGTACTTTTCTACGTTAGCTATCGTTAAATTCTTTATACTATCCTCTGGGTTCTTGGGATTCTGCAACTCAAATATATGAAATTGATAAACTAGGAAAGTGATCTTGTCATTGTTATCTGATATTTTGAGACTTACAATTATCTGTGGATCTTCTATCCCAAGACACTCCCTGCTTTATTTTATCCAAAGGAAGCACCTTTTATATATCAACAGTGGACCTTGAAAAATTTCTGTTAAGCACTTACTGAAAATAGTTCTTTTACTTGAAAAAAGATTCAAGAGGTTTAAGCACAGTTGCCAAGTTTGGCAATGAGGTCTATTGTGGCTTAGCTATTCTTGCTTTCCCATCTTCCTCTGTTTTGATATTTTGTCATTATGTTTACCTTTCCTTTTCTTAGAATTATTATTTCATTTATTCATGCATCCATGTATCCATACATTCATTGTTTACACATTACTAACATTTTCCATTCCTAGTCTCTGTGCCTTGCAAAATACTCAAGAAAAGAATGTCATCTTGTGCAAGTGTGCAAAGGTAAAAGACTAATACATACCTGCTTCTTCCCCACATAGCCCTCTTGAGTACTTTATGTGAATATCAATGGATTTTTTAGAGAAAATAATTCCTGCCTTGGGAGCCAGACCCAGTGGAGTGATACCAATATTGGGACTTGTAATCCTAGTACATGGCAAGGGGTAAATCCTGGCAAGTTATAGACAGGTGGAGCTTTATTTTACTCAACCCGCTGCCCACTCTTCTAATCAAAACTTTCCATCACCTAATTCACATGTATGCTTACTATGTGCCAGGCACATAGTAGGTGCCTTACACATATTTATTAATTTAATTCTCACTACAATCCTGTGGATTAAGCCCTGTTACTATTTCTATTTATAGGATGAGGAAACTGAGGCAGAGAGAACTTTAGTACATTTTCCAAGGTCACACAGTCCGTAAATGATGGAACTGAGATTCAAATCCAGGCAGACAGGCTTCAGATTTATGTTCTTGGCCAATATACTATAATATGAAACTGGTTTGATTAATTTAGTGGGTAAATCTGTGTTACTGTCAGCTACTCTGTGTCTTCTAAGTGTGGGCTACATCTGTTTGCTAGAGAGAAACTCAGAACCAAGGAAAATGGTATATATCTTTGCTCTCAACACCTAAAGGCCCAAAGATTAATGGGGAATCTCCCAAAAAGATCTACTGAAACTAGCACCAATAGAAAATTGGTGTAGCAATTTGGTGACACAGGAAAGAAAAAAGATTTCTTTTTTTTATAAAGGTTTATTTTGAGTCCTGAGAGTATAAAACTTTAAACAGCTCTCTCTTCGGGAAAATATTTTTATTTTATTTTATTTTGTTTTTTTCTATCATTATTTTTTAGAGGTGAAATCTTGCTATGTTGCCCAGGCTGGGCTGAAACTCTTGGGCTCAACCGATACTCCTGCCTCAGCCCCCTGAGTAGCTGGGACTGCAGGTGTGCGCCACCATGCCCAGCCTCTTCAGGAAAATCTTCAGTTATTGTTTCATAGTTGTTACATTAGTGCAAAATTTTAAAATTAGTCCTCAAATTTGAATTGAAAAGGAAGAGAATGAGATATCTACAAGTAGGAAAAATCATATTTTGATGTGGTAATGTAATGAGCCAGGCAAGGAAATGTTCTGTAAAAGTATAAGAACTTTTAAAGAATGAGTCTTATAAAATGAATAAAAGACTATGTAGCTTTTAAAAGCTGTTTACTAATGTAGTGTTAACATTGCTGAAACTTTGTTTAAAACAGAGTAGGTAAGAAAGAGTGCAGAATTCATATGACAGGTTATCTGCCATGTGAGAAAATATACTTTTGTAATTGGAATAAAGGGCAAAAAAGATTACAATCAATGAACATCATTTACTTTATCTAGTGATATTTGATAATTATTCCCATCAATAAATATTCATCTTTAGTAGTGTGTTAATTCTCTAGAATTCATAATTTTCTAGTTTTAGAAATATCTATGCCTAAGCCTGCTACATAAATGACCACTAGGCAATCTCATTCAGTCTTAGGGCTTTAAAGTAACATTTATATATTACTAACTCTAAAATTTTTATCTCTAGTACTAAATTCCACCCTAAGCTCCAGATTCTTGTATCCACTCTCTACTCTGTATCTCTACTTGAAAGTCCAATGAGCAGCTCAAACTTATCATATCCCAAACTGAATTCTTTATTCAGTGTGCCTCATTTCAATAAATGGCATAACCATTTACTTAG